CACATTCAAGGGAAAATGAAGAATATAAATCTTGTCAGATGTCCAAAAAAAGTGCTTAATGATATTTTGCCTGGTAAGAGTTCCTTCTTTAATGGCTATACTCAGTGATCTGTAGCCTACATAAGGTTCCTCTTGATTTGCTGTTCAGTGTCTGCAAGACATGTCCATGGAAGCTTGTTTTCGACTTAAGAAATAAAAAAAGGTAATTGCGACTTTTTATCTCACTATTCTGACTTTTTATCTCAGAATTGATTTAAAGTCACAATTGCAGGTTATAAATTCAGAAATGTGTGATATTTCAGGTGCAATTGTATGTTAAGTCAGAATTATGAGATACTGTATCTCAATAGGTAAGGTATAAAAATATTATATAGGCTATCATTGATTAATGTTGCCTGGGGGCCCCACTCAGTGTTCACCTCCCCCATTCCCGCAACAATGGAGAATCTCTTTAAGCAGTTGATGTATTCCACTTAACACACAATAAAACAATATACAATATGTTTCGTTAACAACGCACCGCTTGGTGTTCTTCTAAAATAAGGTCGAGCCACAAATCTGTGAGTGAAACTGACGACTTTATTCTCGTAGTGTTTCGACTTTAATCTCAAAATATTTTGACTTTAATCTCGAAACTAGAATTGTTTTTTTTTTTTACGCATTTCTTTTTATTTTCTCGTTTTGGTACATATGTGACAATATTACATATTTATTATATTTTTGCTTGTATCATTAAAATATTATAACATTGTTATTTTAATAATAACGCATTATATTTATATTTGAGTTTTTATTTTTAACCTTTAATAAAAATACCAGCTGACAGAACCTTCTGTATGTTTACATTAGTTGAATTATATTTATCTTGAGAAAATAACTATTATAACTAATATTCATCTAATGTACCTAATATTTATCCAAATTAATCAATATTGAATCAAGGTCAGAATCAAATCACAGTATTGTTTTGAAATTGTGAAATTTGTGTCAAGCAATGATAAAAACAGTAGCATACCACGTAAACATTGTAACATGTTGTCACTAAACTTCGGCCACTTTAAACTATGACAAACGCCACAGCGACTACAAAAATCTTGATAAAAGAGAGCTGTTATGGAGTGGTATTGCAGAGCAAATGGACGCCACCTAAGGTAGGCATCTATAGCCGCTTTCCGGAGGGACTTTTGCAGTTCCTAGAACCTAACGTTCCTATAACCCTTTTTTTCTCGTGTTTCGACCGGACTAAATTGGGGATTTTTTAGTTCCTCAGACCGTAGTTCCTATAACTCTTTCAGTACCTAGTCTAGAGCGAGGACTTTTTTTTAGTTCCCTTTCCCTAGGTCTACGTTGATTGGTTAAACTTATAAAAGTCATGCCCACTGTCAACACGGAACTTGTAGCACGCTGCCTGCCATACGCGGTGTGTTTTTGCAAAACATTACATTACTAAGGATTAAGACAAACATAACGCATTGAACCAGCTAATTGCTAATGCTAGCTAAACTTACCCATTGTTTTGTTTGCCTCCTGCGCTCTGCTCTTTTATCTTCTTCCATCATATAACTTAATATCATATTACGCTTCGTCTTCTGTGCTTCTCTGTACAGAACTCAAGCATAATCTTTAAACGCCGCTGTTCGTTCTCCGTTATTAAGGTCCCGGCAAGGCAGAACATTGCAATAATAGCCTCCTCCACGCTGGTTTGTTGTTGTTGTATGTGGCCGGGCTATGTCTAGTGATAAAGACCGTCGGCGTGCTTGCGTTACCCCTCCTACCAGTTCCTATGGCCACTTGGCCAGTGCGAACGCAAGCAGCAAAACCGAGTTTAGGGGAGAGTAGTTCTTAGAACTGTTTAGAAGTGGACAGTTCCTATAACTAAGTTTCTGTAACTACTTGGTCGGAAAGCGGCTTATGTTATTTAGCTATGCGTGTAATGCGTGAATCGGTGGGCGGGGCTAAACCGGCCTTGTTGAAGTAGGCGTTGATCTTTTTCTGCGGGGGTGGGTTTTTATCCTCTTTGACGTCATAGTTCCCCACTTTGAAAAACGAGTCGTTTGCTAAGCCTGGTGTCAATAAAAACTTTTATTGGACTAACAAGGACGTTTTCAGTTCTGAAACTTACAGGATATTCTTATAATATGATTACCTCCTAGATGTCAAAAGCTAAATACATGGACATGTATTTAAAGTGTTAGTTCACCCAAAAATGAAAATTTTGTCAGTATTTACTCTTCTGACAATAGCAGGATGCCTGGCCCTGTAGTCGATCAATGGCGACTGCAATGGGCTTCAAGATTCTGGAGAACTCCTCCAGGTAACCCAGTTCGGCGTCTCTGCACTCTTTGGTCTCCCTGATGCTTTCCTCAAGGAAGAACATTTACCCACTGTGGCATTGTTGAAACGGGAGACTGTCTCTCATGGCTGTCTTCGCATCTGTGGTGCCACTAATTGTAAGATGTGGCGTGCACACCTCAAGTGGGTTAGCAAAACAATTCCACTCTCATTCTGCTCTGAAACTGATGAATCAATGCGTAGGAAAGACAGATCCTCATTGCCATCTTGCTATGAATGCGCTAATCAGACTGGAGGGAGACCATAGACGTCTTTCCAGCTCTAATGATGCGTAAGTCACAGAGATTGCTGTAAACCAATCACACGTTACGCTTTAAAGCGCGACTAAAAACCATGACTGAACTAAGTTCACCACAGTTCAGTTCAGTTTATAAGCTGTCAGATGAGACCAAACATGGTATAGGTACATATTAGAGCACACTAGTAAATAAACAGTATGTAGTTGGAAGCATATGTCCTGTGAAGCAAATAGTACAGATGTGTCGTCGAGGTGCAAACGACTCTTTCTCTCCCGACAGAACTATCCTGTGACTGGATTGTCCCAACAGTCCTCGATCAGCATAGTGATGAAACCCTTGCACTAGATAGGCATTAGCATACTGTGATGATGAAGGCGATTGTGCCACGTTTAATTCACATGTTTACCTTTAAAGGGATTTCTGAAGTACTAGGACAGTAAAGAGTTCTGGCCATATTTGCTCAGCCCTACAAATCCCTCCTCTGGTACATTGGACCTCAGGAATTATGTGAGGTACATTTGTGGCCTTAACATTTAGGGCTGAGTGCATTGAAGAAGTGCCTCCATTAGCATAGTAGCTCAGAGTAATGATGATAATTGTCATTGTCAAGGATGCTAAGAAGACGCACACAGAGAACACCTACTCCCATCAGGTGTAGGCTTAGTCAGATGCACAACAATGGACACACTTGTCAGGAACTGTCCATATAGCAAGGTTTACATCCATCATTGGCTTTGGCAAGCCGAACAAGATCTCTAGAGTCTGTGGTGGTCTGTTCCTCCTCATGGCATCTTCAACTCTCTGCTGTTCATGTCCCACAGGAACAAGATCTCTAGTGTCTGTGGTGGTTCATGTCAAACAGGAACAAGATCTCTAGAGTCTGTGGTGGTCTGTTCCTCCTCATGGCATCTTCAACTCTATGCTATTCATGTCCGACAGGAACAAGATCTCTAGAGTCTGTGGTGGTCTGTTTCTCCTCATGGCATCTTCAACTCTTTGCTGTTCATTTCCGACAGGAACAAGATCTCTAGAGTCTGTGGTGGTTCATGTCCGACAGGAACAAGATCTCTAGAGTCTGTGGTGGTCTGTTCCTCCTCATGGCATCTTCAACTCTATGCTATTCATGTCCGACAGGAACAAGATCTCTAGAGTCTGTGGTGGTCTGTTCCTCCTCATGGCATCTTCAACTCTTTGCTATTCATGTCCCAAAGGAACAAGATCTCTAGTGTCTGTGGTGGTTCATGTCCGACAGGAACAAGATCTCTAGAGTCTGTGGTGGTCTGTTCCTCCTCATGGCATCTTCAACTCTATGCTATTCATGTCCGACAGGAACAAGATCTCTAGTGTCTGTGGTGGTTCATGTCCGACAGGAACAAGATCTCTAGAGTCTGTGGTGGTCTGTTCCTCCTCATGGCATCTTCAACTCTTTGCTATTCATGTCCCAAAGGAACAAGATCTCTAGTGTCTGTGGTGGTTCATGTCCGACAGGAACAAGATCTCTAGAGTCTGTGGTGGTCTGTTCCTCCTCATGGCATCTTCAACTCTATGCTATTCATGTCCGACAGGAACAAGATCTCTAGAGTCTGTGGTGGTCTGTTTCTCCTCATGGCATCTTCAACTCTTTGCTGTTCATTTCCGACAGGAACAAGATCTCTAGAGTCTGTGGTGGTCTGTTCCTCCTCATGGCATCTTCAACTCTTTGCTATTCATGTCCGACAGGAACAAGATCTCTAGAGTCTGTGGTGGTCTGTTCCTCCTCATGGCATCTTCAACTCTTTGCTATTCATGTCCGACAGGAACAAGATCTCTAGAGTCTGTGGTGGTCTGTTCCTCCTCATGGCATCTTCAACTCTCTGCTGTTCATGTCCCACAGGAACAAGATCTCTAGTGTCTGTGGTGGTCTGTTCCTCCTTTATCTGCAAACCAAGTATGCAAAGGTTACAACTTTTAAGGGAGTATTAACAAGTAGTAGTTAACTTATAACTGTGCATTCACACCAGACGCGAATAGCACGTCAAATTTGCGCCTACAGTGTAGTTATACGCTTGAACACTAGGAATCCATTCGTGCATCAAGAGCGAAAGAGGACGTCGGAATAAAAAAACCCATTGGCGGCCATCTTTTTTATGTTGATCAAGCATTCATTGAGAGAGTCACCGCTCTGTATTTGCTCTAGAGAGCAGAATAGCGGCGTAGGGATCAACGTCGCCGTATTTGGGTCCACCAGACCCTTCGGAAGTGAACCGAGTTTGTCAAGTTCCACCATTTGGCAATAGGGTGATGTGTGGCTAATTTACACAGAAGAGACTTTGTTGTTAAGCACATGAAAATAAACTACTTACAGTGATATCAGACTGTGTTTAAGTGGTTTCTCCACTGTGTGGATATTCTTGTGTTGCTTCAGGCTACTTTTAATAGAGAAACTCGACCCACACTGATCACACGTGTGCGGCTTCTCTCCAGTGTGGATCCTCTCATGTGTTTTCAGATGTGATGATCGACCAAATCTCTTTTCACAGTGTGAACAGTTGTAAGGTTTTTCTCCAGTGTGGATCCTCTCATGTGTTTTAAGAGATGATGACAGACTGAATCTCTTGTCACAGTGTGAACACTTGTAAGGTTTTTCTCCAGTGTGGATCATCTCATGTGTTTTTAGATGTGTTGATCGACCGAATCTCTTGTCGCAGTGTGAACACTTGTGAGGTTTTTCTCCAGTGTGGATCATCTCATGTGTTTTCAAAGATGATGACTCACTGAATCTCTTGTCGCAGTGTGAACACTTGTAAGGTTGTTCTCCAGTGTGGATCATCTCATGTGTTTTCAGATGTGTTGATCGACCATATCTCTTGTCGCAGTGTGAACACTTGTAAGGTTTTTCTCCAGTGTGGATCATCTCATGTGTTTTCAGAGATGATGACAGACTGAATCTCTTGTCACAGTGTGAACACTTGTAAGGTTGTTCTCCAGTGTGGATCCTCTCATGCGTTTTCAGAGATGATAACTGACTGAATCTCTTTTTACAGTGTGAACACTTGTAAGGTTTTTCTCCAGTGTGGATCATCTCATGTGTTTTCAGATTTGCTGATTGACTGAATCTCTTGTCACAGTGTGAACACTTGTAAGGTTTTTCTCCAGTGTGGCTCCTCTCATGTGCTTTCAGATGTGCTGATTGACTGAATCTCTTGTCACAGTGTGAACACTTGTAAGGTTGTTCTCTAGTATGAATCCTCATGTGAACATTAAGGTGTGAAGATAGACTGAAACTCTTCCCGCACTGATCACATGAGAACGGCTTCTCTCCAGTGTGGATCATCATGTGACGCTCAAGACTAGCTTGGATTGTGAAACTGTTTCCACACAGAGTGCAGGTGAAAGATTTCTTTGCTCGTCTTTTCTTTAAAAATGAACTTTTAGTCTTTGAGCGACTCAAGGGTTTTCCTCCAGGCTGGACATGATGTTCCTCCTCCACTTCTCTCAGTTCTTCTCTCTCCTCTTTCACTTCTCTCAGTTCTTCTCTCTCCTCCTTCACTTCCATCAGTTCTTCTCTCTCCTCCTTCACTTCTCTCAGTTCTTCTCTCTCCTCTTTCACTTCCATCAGTTCTTCTCTCTCCTCCTTTACTTCACTCAGTTCTTCTCTCTCCTCCTCCACTTCTCTCAGTTCTTCTCTCTCCTCCTTCACTTCACTCAGTTCTTCTCTCTCCTCCTTCACTTCACTCAGTTCTTCTCTCTCCTCCTTCACTTCACTCAGTTCTTCTCTCTCCTCCTTCACTTCTCTCAGTTCTTCTCTCGCCTCGCTTTCTTCCATCAGGTCTGACATGAAAAGAAAAAATATTAGATTTAATTTTCAGTACATCAAAATAATTCAAAGAGAGAAATATAAAGTGAAAGGATATGAAAGTGAAACCTGATGTAATAGTAGTAAGTAGACAACTGCTATAAAATATTATGTCCTTAACCCCTCAACTGTCACCGTCCCGGTACCGGGACGCCTAACTGTACTTCACTATATTTCTATTAAATCTTAATCTAATTATGACAAATTATATATTGTTGGAAAGGTCTAAGACTTCTAAATACATATTCTACCCCTGTTTCGTGTTACAAATTATGTAGAAAGAGTAATTGATGAATTTATGACAAGAGTGCACCTGAAAAAATCTGCATCATAACAGTAGGTCTGACCTTTATCACAAAAAGTCGATGCACCCACTTTTAATCATTGACACTTCAGTTTTTATGCTCAAAGTTCATAATAAAACATATAATCTGGTATTTTTCAATAAAAAAATTATAATATAATATTCAAAAACCCCTTATGAGAAGAATACATTTAAGGACCGTGACGTCACCCGGTATGGCGCAACCGGGGCCCCACCCTGGAGCCAGGCCCGGGGTTGGGGCTTTTATGCGAGCGCCTGGTGGCCGGGCCTCTCCCTACGGGGTCCGGCCGGGCTCAGCCCAAAGGAGCGACGTGGGACCGCCTTCCCGTGGGCTCACCACCTGCAGAAGGAGCCGTAAGGGGCCGGTGCAGAGAGGATCGGGCGGCAGTCGAAGGCAGGGGGCTCGGCGACCCGATCCCTGGACACAGAAACTAGCCTTAGGGACGTGGAACGTCACCTTACTGGCGGGGCAGGAGCCCGAGATTGTGCTTGAGGTTGAGAGGTTCCGACTAGAGATAGTCGGGATCACCTCTACGCATGGCTTGGGCTCTGGAACCACTCTCCTTGAGAGAGGATGGACTCTTCACCACTCTGGAGTTGCCCATGGTGAGAGGCGGCGGGCTGGTGTGGGTTTGCTTATAGCCCCCCAGCTCAGCCGCCATGTGTTGGAGTTTACCCCAGTGAACGAGAGGGTTGTTTCCCTGCGCCTACGGGTCAGGGATAGGTCTCTCACTGTCGTGTGTGCCTACGGGCCAAACGGCAGTGCAGAGTACCCGGCCTTCTTGGGGTCTCTGGGAGGAGTGCTGGAAAGTGCTCCAACTGGGGACTCCGTCGTTCTACTGGGGGACTTCAACGCTCACGTGGGCAACGACAGTGACACCTGGAGGGGCGTGATTGGGAGGAACGGCCCCCCCGACCTGAACCCAAGTGGTGTTCAGTTATTGGACTTCTGTGCTAGTTACAGTTTGTCCATAACAAACACCATGTTCAAGCATAAGGGTGTCCACCAGTGCACGTGGCAACAGGACACCCTAGGTCGTAGGTCGATGATCGACTTTGTGGTCATTTCATCTGACCTGCGGCCGAATGTCTTGGACACTCGGGTGAAGAGAGGGGCGGAGCTGAGCTGTCAACTGATCACCACCTGGTGGTGAGTTGGATCCGATGGCGGGGGAGGAGGCTGGACAGACTCGGCAGACCCAAGCGTACTGTAAGGGTTTGCTGGGAACGTTTGGCCGAATCTCCTGTCAGAAAGATCTTCAGCTCTCACCTCCGGCAGAGCTACGACCAGATCCCGAGGGAGGCTGAAGATATTGAGTCTGAGTGGACCATGTTCTCCACCTCCATTGTCGAAGCGGCTGCTCGGAGCTGTGGCCGTAAGGTCTCCGGTGCTTGTCGAGGCGGCAATCCCCGAACCCGGTGCTGGACACTGGAAGTAAAGGATGCAATCAAGCTGAAGAAGGAGTCCTATCGGGCCTGGTTGGCTTGTGGGACTCCGGAGGCAGCTGACAGGTACCGGCAGGCCAAGCGGACTGCGGCCCAAGCAGTTGGGGAGGCAAAAACTCGGGCCTGGGAGGAGTTCGGTGAGGCCATGGAGAAGGACTATCGGCTGGCCTCGAAGGGATTCTGGCAAACTGTCTGGCGCCTCTGGAGGGGGAAACAGTCCCCCACCAATGCTGTTTACAGTAGGGGTGGGCGGCTGTTGACCTCAACTAGAGATGTCGTCTGACGGTGGAAGGAATACTTCGAGGACCTCCTCAATCCCGCCGTCACGTCTTCCATTGGAAGCAGAGGCTGAGGGCTCAGGGGTGGACTCGTACATCACCCTAGCTGAGGTCACCGAGGTAGTCAAGAAACTCCTCGGTGGCAAGGCACCGGGGGTGGATGAGATCCACCCTGAGTACCTTAAGTCTCTGGATGTTGTGGGGCTGTCTTGGCTGACACGCCTCTGCAGCATCGCGTGGCGGTCGGGGACAGTGCCTCTGGGATGGCAGACCGGGGTGGTGGTTCCTCTTTTTAAGAAGGGGCACCGGAGGGTGTGTGTTCCAACTATAGGGGGATCACACTTCTCAGCCTCCCTGGGAAAGTCTATGCCAGGGTACTGGAGAGGAGAATACGGCCGATAGTGGAACCTCGGATTCAGGAGGAACAATGCGGTTTTCGTCCAGGCCGTGGAACACTGGACCAGCTCTACACTCTCTACAGGGTGCTGGAGGGTTCATGGGAGTTTGCCCAACCAGTTCACATGTGTTTTGTGGATTTGTGGAAATTTACCTCTACCAAAGTTACTGTAAGAAGACTCTCTAGAACTATGAATAAATTATATTATATTTGACAAATACAACTTTATCAGTAACTTGGTGTTTAACGATTATGCCTAAAAAAAACATGTTTCAATTATGTTGAAAATGACAAATTCTGGGAATGTTGTAGCAAAATTGGGAACCAGATATAAAATAACTGTAAAAATAAACCAGCTAAAATAGTATTGTTGAAACAAACCCAGAACATTCTGTATCATTTCATAGTTTAGCTGTTTATCTAAAAGTGCTTGAATGTTTCTAACATGAATGTTCTCCAGCATCATGAATGAATGAAGAATAAACACCAACCTCTTTGTTCTTCAGGATCTTCAGTGTGTTTCATTCTGCAGGGTTCTGGATCACTCATGTTCTCACTATCCTCTTTAATAAACTCAGTCTTTGCAGATTTCAGCTCTTCCTGATGCTTTCATGTTCGTCTTCGGTTGTAGCTGATGAGAATTTACAGCATTTATTGGAGAATTGCAGTGGGAGGAGCTTCACTGATGATGTGATTGAGTGGGGGGGGGGCTTCGCTGATGATGTGTTCCAGTGTTGGAGGAGCTGATCTGCCTAAATCAAAAATATTAATTTCTAAGTTTTGTTTTAATAATAAATGACGTTCTAAGCATTTGTGTCTGTTGATCTATTCATTGTACAGTAACTGATGCCAATTCATTAATTATTTATATTGCTAATCCTAACATTATTCTGCTTCTTCATGAAAATACAGGTATCTAGAAATATAAAAGAATACAATAATTTAAATTATTCCAAATATAAATGATGGTAAGAAAAAAACAGTTAAAATCATAAACAGAAATAAACTTGTAGCTAGTGCTGTAGCGGCGCATCGATGACGTCGATGATTCGACGTCAAAATTGCGTCGACGTCATATTTTTGCGTCGACGCTTCTTTATTTATTTATTTTTTGCATGTTCCCGGCGATACAGCTTGCCACACACACGTGGGAGACCGAAACATTGCAGAATAGAGGACGAATGTGCTATCCATTAAATGAATCACACACAGTAAACAAACCCTTAAGAAAAAAAATTGCAATTTAGATGCGCAAACTGGGTGCCGGTGTAGTGAGACGTACAAGCTCGGGCAGATTCGGCTTGAAGTCGTTCCCGGACGCGGCGCCGCGCTTGCTGTTACAAAAAAAGCCGTACACACAGCCAGCCACAGTCTTCCTGGTCTTGCGCACCCAACGCGTCATTTTTGCCGTGCGCACATTCGCACTCGTGCGGACGTGTCGAGTATAAACAAGGCTTTACTCCGTGTCAGCACGCGCTCTGATCAGTAGGTGCAGAAACCCCTCCCAATTCATCTCCAGTAGTAGCAGCAGCCTCCGATCGCACCACTAACTCCGCCTCAGTTTCCCTCCTCAGCTGATATTAATATTTAAACATTCTCTATGATAAAAAATGTTTGTAAAAAATATTTTAATAACACGGTTTTGGCGGTTGTAGAGTTATAATGATGGTGTTCAAATACATAACATTAGACTAACGTTAGCCAGCTTATAGTATCTTGATTCAGTATGCAAGTATTTATTTGAGATATTGTTTTTTTTTATTAATTGAGCAGCAGAAAAAAATATTCTTTATATTAGTCGTCCAATTAGTCATTAGATTAGTCGACTAATCGATAAAATAATCGCCCAACTAATCGTTTAGTTAATAATCGTTTACCCCAGCCCTACTTGTGGCCAACAAATCCCCTCAGTCTGCTGACACCGATGAAATGAGCTTTAAGTGTCAATTTACAGAAGACATCAGCATAATAAATGAGGTGAAAACAGGAACTATAGTCAGGAAATAGAGTGTTTTCAGCAGATCTGTTAATATTGATGATCCTCAGACTATCAACACTCATTCAACAAGTCATTCAGGATCATCAGCAGATTGTTAGAAACACATTATTTGAGTCAGGATATAAAAGCCTATAAAACAACTACTATACTGAAAGCGAATACTATTATTTATCACAATATGACATGGATAAAACATAAATAATACAAAAACAATCCCTAATGATGACACTCATCTTCATAAACCATAGATATAAATAATTACAGCAGCATAATATTACCAAATTAATATTGCAAGTTTGATCTTATGATAGCTACATTAATCACTATAAAGTAGTTAGATCATTAAAAATAATAACAGAAACTGTTAATTATAATAAAACTTTTAAAAATAAAGAGCACCACAAAGCACCATTGTTCCAAAAGTAAACGCTTTTCATATTAGTATTGATTAATGTCTCACGTGGCTCATCATAGGCTCAATGCATTCAGCATTCAGCATTATCTGTTCCATTATGACACTTGAGATCGATTCACATTAATTCCCCTCACAGATTTCACATTTTGACTTTTGACTTGACGAGACAATCACACAACGAACACACACTCGCTCAAGGTCTGAATGAACTCCACATATTCTCCTCAGGCTCGCTGATGCTGCACTAAATGTGTATTTCAGGACGAAGACGCCAGAAAAGACGCACAAGTATCGCTGTGATCGATGAAAACAACACAGAAATGAGTCTGTCGCTTAATCAAACTGTATAAAGTGTGTGTGATGGGTGTGTAAATATAAGAAATACCGTGAAGTGCTCTCCTCACCTCAGAAGACTCGACGCTGAAACTCCCTCACAACACGATGACGTAGCTGGTGGATGGAGGTGTGTTTTAGTGACGCCATAAACGCATGCGCAATAGCGATCTCTGGTTACAATTCGCATGCGCTGGTCTTAAATTACATGTATGCTCAATATTATACTGATGATGTTCTAATCTAACCTGTGTGGTAGTACTGTTAAATTGTTATAAGTAGTTATTTATATAATGCTTAAGTTATCCAAGTTTCACTCTACATAGGCTACATGCAAAATAGTTTATTTTAAATTTTAAATCACATGATTTTTAAACCTGAATTTGATAGATTAATAGCATGTCCTCAGTGCAAGTATTATGTAGAGCATTTTAAAATAAAGCCATTTTATTTTTTTAAGGTCATATGCTGTTTAATTTTTATTATATTTATTTATTTAAACATTTTAAAAGAAGAAAACAGTCATATAGAACTAATAAATAGAAAAAAAAACATGAAATAAAGAAGCCACAAGACGGGACAAATAAACGCTAACAAAACAAATATATATCAAAGGAAAAGATTAAAAGATTGACATATTTCAGTTGTTTTTAAAGCGTTCTTGTTACACGAGTCAGAGATAGATCAAAACAATAGTCACATTGAAGGATTTTTAAAGAATTTATTTGTAAATCATGGTGGAAAATAAGTATTTCACTGTAAATATGTTCCTAAGAGTAGTAACTCCTGCGCAGCGTTCAGTTCATGGGAAACTACCAAAGGTCGTGACCCCACTGAGATCTCCATCGTTGACAGATGAATGGGACTCTTGGAAAAAACTAAAGTAAGGCTTCAGTGTCTTTGCAAACAAAATGAAAGCTTTCCTTTTTACAGTTCGCTGTTTTTCAATCATTTACAAAGGATTGAAATCATGTTTATGGATGAGTGAACGCATTTATGTTTTTAACCGTAGTTGCTAATGAGAGATATAAAGGAATGATGACGTTTCCTGAATTAATACTCATTGTGAACAGGCCTAGTGTGTGAATGAGAGTTTGACACTGTAGCTTGAAATGTTTCTTTTTTAATGTCCGTATAAAGAATCAACATGTAAACACACACACACACACACGGCGAGAGTTCGTGAGTTGACGAGTCAGTCGCGAGTCTGCCGTTCGTCAGTCCTGATGGCGCTCGTTCCGGCCCGTTTGTCTGCGTCTCTGCGCTTTGGTGCTCTTGCCCTGACGGAGCTTGTTGTCTTGCGCTGATGACGACTTCCTGTCGCTCTGACGGCTTCTGCGCCTCATTTCCTTTTTGGACCTTCGTTTGTTGCTCTTCTGTTTAGTGAGGCTGTTGAGGGACGCCGTGAGGGTCTGGATCCTGCAGAATCACACACACACACGATGAATCACTGAACAACAGACTCAAGTGAACGACAAACAGTGAGTCATTAAAGCGATTCACAGCACAGTCTGAATCTGATGAAGTGTGCGTCGTACATCGGTTGTTATATCAGAATAAAGCCCTTCAGGTGTGTGTGTGTGACCTCAGAATATGGAGATAGGCTGTATATGCGTCAGTTTCAGAAACGGCCTGAGAAGAAGAAGAGATGAATATTTGCCTCAAGTGATGGGCTTGGCGAGAGAAATTATATTTGTATTATCGTATGTATAATTGTCTCTAGATTTTTATACATAAAATTGAATATTTTTTGTGTACATGAATTTTTATGTATAAAAAAATGTATATATACATTTTTACAAATTTATAAAAATATAAATATATTTATAAATGTATACATTTATATTTATATATAAATAAATATAAATTAATTTATATTTATTTATATATAAATACAATTCATTTAAATATAAATAAATGAGTTATATTTATTATTCATTTAAATATAAATGAATAATAAATATAATTCATTATAAATAATATATATATATATATATATATATGTATATATAAATTTTGTATAAAAGTGACCAAACAAACACTACAGCTCACCATCGAACTGCCTCCAAAACATTCGTACGCATGACTCAGAGTTTGCGTGAAGGTGCGTAAATTTGTTTTTATAAATCACGTCTTATGCGTGGGAAATGGCGTTCGGCTCTTTCAGGGCCAGTTTTGAGCGACGCAACGGTAATAAACGAGGCCCCTGATCACCCTATTGTAATTGTACGTTTACTTTACTATTATTCTTAGTCAATGGCAGCCCTATCAACAGAACATACGACAATGATGAAATTTGGCACACTTGTACCAATATTGGAGTCTCTAGGACCAACTCTATAGCGCCACCACCAGTTCAAACATTCAACATTGAAATGGGTCTAAGTTTTAAACTAGAGAAATGCATCTTAGTCACGATCAACATCTTACATTAAGCAGTAGTGGCCATTTTATTCAGTTTTTTTCTATACTCTTATTTTTCCTAAATAAATTACCACAAATGATCTTTGAACAGAAATTACGTTTATTCAACTTTATTCAATAGTTCTGTAACGAGGTCGACCCAACATTGGTTCAGAGGCTGTACCAAAGTATGACCAATCGAAGCGAACGTTATGATCTGAGAGGCCATGCCTAATTTCGGGAATAGCGCCCCCTACAGGTCCTGATTTCTGGAAGTCTATTTTTCGGTGTCTATGGATTCCGAATTTTGCGCGGATTGGATCTCCCACTCGTCCGCCATTTTGAATCTTGTCATGATCTTTTAAATTATTTGACGTCTTCAAAAGCTAGGGAACAGCATGTCCTGAAGGTACACCGACGGCTTTATTCAGAGATGAACGTTACCCCTTCCGTATAAAGGTTATGATAATAATCACATGAATAATAATAATCATCCGTACTTCTTGGACAGCAGTGGGTTTCCGGCGACCTTGGGGAGGGCTTTGGTCTTCTCCTCGTCGTTCTGCTCCTCTCTTTGCGGATCCAGCATTCTGCCGGCCGATAGGTCGAGGTCGCTGATGGTCGTCACGGTGACCGTGTGGTTGGGGTGATCGTACTGAACGCTCTCCGTCGTGGCCGTGATCACGTCCTCCAGCTCGTCCTCCTCATCTAAACACACACAAACACACGGCACAAATTTTAACACCGGTATCGTGCGTAACTTTAATATTGATTCACTTTCTCCGAGAACCAATTTCACAAACAATTTCAGTACAACAAAAGTTATTTTTCACGGATTAACGGTCAAAAACATGCAAAATAGTGTCTCCGTGAATATTGTAATGGTCGGTTATGTCTTAAAGCGCACGTGACCGTCAGTGTATGATCCGCGCACTAGCTCTTAAAGGGACGGCGGCCTGATATGTGTCTGTCATTAATGTTGTCACCAAAACAACAAAAGAGCGCTTTAATTGTAAGGATTAATATGCATCTAATTTAGTCAGGACTAAAAGACTGTCCGATTTATTTTACATGTGATTACTTTATACAGTTTCTGTAGTATTTCTGAATACTAGTGCTGGACCTACCCCCCAAAAAAAACATACGCTCTCCTTATTCTATTGTATTTATTTATGCTACTTATTTCAGTTTAATTAAAGTGTGTGTAAACTCTAAATCATAAAATGACCCCATTGTAAAAATGCGAAAGTGAGCAAACACATTTAGGTGAGATAAATGTCATTGAACACACACTCACCCAGAGCCTGGCGGCGCTCCAGCAGCATCTTCAGATACTCTTTGTGTCTCTGGAGGAGGAAAGTCGTCATCATCATCATCATCATCATCATCATCATCATCAAAACACACTCCTCATCCTCGCCTCCTCTCTGACGCACTTCTGCTCCTCATCACACACACACACACACACACCTCCTCTCTGACGCGCTTCTGCTCCTCCTTCAGTTTGCTCCTCATCTCCTCCAGTGCTGCTCTCCGGCGTTCCAGCTTCCTCTTGTGGAAACCCGTCAGGAAATCCCTGGCACACACACACACACACACACTACTCTGTGACATTACACACACACACACCTTTACAACACAACTTTCTATGCTGTGGCAATGTGTGTATGTGTACGTTATTGTCTTGTTATGCATATGTGGGTATGTGTATGAATGCCACAGTATTTAATCCACGTAAATAAACAATGATTTGCTGTAGCTTAATTCGGTTTAAATCCTCTCACTGACTAAACTAAAGTACTGAATTAATGTCACTTACTGTCTGTCTTTATCATCAAACATGAGCACACATTTACGCTGCTTCTGTTTCGCTCCACTTTTAAACTTTGAGTTCTGCTTTAATTTGCTGTTTTTCGCCATTTCTCCACCGGTTTCACTAAACACGTGTGACGCGTTGCTACACTTCCGCTTCTGGGAAGCTGCCGGAAGTGCCAAAATAAAGGTCCTCCACAGAACGCGCATCTAAAATTAGAGTCCTCCTGAAGAAAAGCTTCTTCTTCTTCAGTTTAAATGGCGGTTGACAACAATTAATTGTATTACCGCCACCGCTGGACTGGAGTGTATAGCAGGAGATATATATTTTCTACATAATTAAATTCTTTTTAAAAGCCCTGTACTTTTTAAAAACAAAAATAAAAAAATAAAAATCTTCTCAGCATTTCTTTGTAAAATCTTACTGTATTCAAATATAATTTCATTGGCTTCTACTTGAGCAATAAACCTCTGCCTATCTTGATAATATTTAGTACAATGAATCAAAACATGCTCCACTGTTTCAGGGGTAGGTCTTATACAATGCCCAGTTACCATTAACATGTTTTTACCTGAAGAAAAGCTCTTCACGTGTGTGGTCATTTATTTTGTAGTAAAAATATATATTGTCGACTTCATCTCGTTCACACTAGTGATGGGGGAGACGAAGCTTTGCAAAGCGTCGAATCAATTGAATGATTCAAATGATTCCCTAGCGTTCGAATCGCAACACTCTGGCCACCCCTGTTGGTCAGAACAACCACAACTCATTCAAAACATGCATAAAACAGCTTTTACAAATCCACTAGAAATGTTCTATTGGAAGTAAAATCTATCCAATGCAGTTGAATGATCATTTAACAAGATTAAATGTCAATTTTTTGTGTATTACATTTTCAGGGTTTTGTTTGTTGCATGGATGGCTGCGGTAAACAAGCTGAAGAGACTATTATTATTCATTTTAACTATCCTATTGTCACATGAAAACGTCTACAAATATATAAAACTGACGAGATCAGGTAAAACAGATGGAGCCTTCGATGTTTCGCCGCTGGGGGGCGATTTCAGTGAATCCGCATTGACTCGCAGTTTGATGCACGCTCCGAACCACTGATTCGATTCAAAAGATTCATATCAGTAGTTCACAAATTCTTGACAATTAAAATTGATTCTTGCAAATATGTCTCTAAATTATAAACGAATAATTAATGTGTAATAGTAAATAAATAATAATTAAGTGTGTTGGTTCGTTTTTTCCAGTCATTTCTATGCACCCAAATCTTATTTTTATCACTCATAGATGTGTCTCACACAGGTAATAAATCCACAAAGAATATATGTGGATTTTAGAAGTTTAACATTCAACGTTACCGATTTTACAAGTTATGACCGAAGCACTATTAAACTAAGAAAGTAACTGTCATGTTATATCAAATGCACACAGACACATGATGGTTCTTCAACGGCATTTGCTGTTTTATTACAAAAAAAGTCAAAAGACGTAGAAATTCAGACCAACACTTGAAAGAAAGAGTGAATGTGACCGAGTTGTGGAGAGAGATACTGGAATTACAGTTAGATATTAAAACACAACCTGAACCTTTAGATTAAATTAATAAAACACTACATAACACACACGCTAGTTCTTATATTCCTTTTTACTCTATTTACAGTTCACTTCTTCTGTCGTGTGTGTGTGACCGTTACATCTTCATCATTATTACGTGTTATCATAATAAATGTCCCGCGGTCACATTTCCAAATATAAAAAAGAATAAAGACAAACTACTAAAGCAAAATAACAAAAACACGCCAGACACAAAATATGAAGTAATTACATATGATGAGGCATTAAAGTCGTCATGTGAAATAATTATATAAAACCCCGCACTAGCGCTCTATAAGACTTTGGTCTATGACACAGCTCTGTACAACGTGTGTGTGTGTGTGTGTGTGTGTTCTCCTCATCACATGCCGTTTCTCTCCCTCATGAGTGTTTGTTCTTCATGTACACAGTTTCTGCATTGCTGATTTGTCACTTGGATAATGTAATTTAGCATAATTATAATTATGATAATTAAACACTTACTTCTAAACTCTGTTTAAACTAAATATAACTGATTTCTATATGCATGGCTGAATATGAGCTAGAAAGGAGAGTGTGTGTGTGTGTGTGTGTGTGTGTGTGTGGGAGTGTTCCACATGAGTAATAACACTATAGTATATTATAATATTCTTCCTACTAAATACTACAGTGTTTCTGCTTGTTATCATCAGGTGTTCATCAATAATGCTCAATTAGTTTTTACTATAACATACTATAATATTATTTCATGTGTGTGTGTGTGTGTGTGCTATGTCGCAGCGATGATGGCGTATCAGTCTCTGCTAGCAGTCCTGCCGGTCCCCCATTCTCTCCAGCGTGAGTGTGTGTGTGTGTGTGTGTGTTATGTCGCGGCGATGGTGGTGCCCCCCCCCAGGCGTATCAGTATCTGCTGGCAGTCCTGCAGTGAGCGCCGGTCCCCCACTCTCTCCAGCGTGCGCTTGGCTTCGGCCAGCAGTCGAGCTCGGTGACCCGGTGGCGTTAGCAGCGGCAGCGGCAGGTGACGACACGCTAGCAGGATAGCATGAGCTCTCTCGCGCTCGCCGCCGGCGGCTGCGGAACACACACACACACACATAGCGGGACGTCAACACAATCTACTACACATACAGCATCAGCTAACCTGTGTGTGTGTGTGTGTGTGTGTGTGTGTGTGTGTGTGTGTGTGTGTGTGTGTGTGTTTACCTGCTGTTGTGTAGTTGTGTGTTCTGTGTCGCAGCAGCTGGTGTGTGCGAGTGGGACTGGCTCCTGCCATCAGCCTGACCGTCGTCTCGTGCAGGAACAGCTGAAATCACACACACACACGTGTTTAAACATGCAGAGGTCAAACGCAGAGGTCAGCTGTAGGTTGGGTCAAAGGTCACCTTGTGCTGGGCCTGTCTGTGGGCTTGTCCGAGCTTCCGCAAAGAGCTCAGGTCCCTTTGGAATCCAGCCAGTTGGGATCCGGGGGCGGGGCCGGGCTCTCCATTGGACCCGCCCCCGCGCTGCCATAGGCTTGTTCTCAGAGTCAGGAGGAGGTCACAGACCAGAAGCTCCACCCCCTGAAAGAGTGTCAGAGTGTTAAACTAGTTATCAAATAAAACTAAGATAATTATAACTTTAAAAACAATAATTACAAGAATGATAACTATTTTAACAACCACACCAACATATGAGAACAATAACTGTAACGATAACTAAAATGAAAACAAAAACAATAAATATATTAACATCCACAAAAAAGGTGATAATTGTATAAAAAACTATAAAGATAACTATAAAAATAACAATAATCATAGCGATAAATATAACTATTGCAAACACTAATATAGTTTTTTTCATTAGTGTTCACACCAGCGGACGATAACTAGAACGATAACTATATTAGTGTTCACACCAGCGGACGATAGCTATAACGATAACTATATTAGTGTTCACACCAGCGGACGATAACTATAACGATAACTATATTAGTGTTCACACCAGCGGACGATAACTATAACGATAACTATATTAGTGTTCACACCAGCGGACGATAACTATAACGATAACTATATTAGTGTTCACACCAGCGGACGATAACTATAACGATAACTATATTAGTGTTCACACCAGCGGACGATAACTATAACGATAACTATATTAGTGTTCACACCAGCGGACGATAACTATAACGATAACTATATTAGTGTTCACACCAGCGGACGATAACTATAACGATAACTATATTAGTGTTCACACCAGCGGACGATAACTATAACGATAACTATATTAGTGTTCACACCAGCGGATGATAACTATAACGATAACTATATTAGCGTTCACACCAGCGGACGATAACTATAACGATAACTATATTAGTGTTCACACCAGCGGACGATAACTATAACGATAACTATATTAGTGTTCACACCAGCGGACGATAACTAGAACGATAACTATATTAGTGTTCACACCAGCGGACGATAACTATAACGATAACTATATTAGTGTTCACACCAGCGGACGATAACTAGAACGATAACTATATTAGTGTTTACACCAGCGGACGATAACTATAACGATAACTATATTAGTGTCCACACCAGCGGACGATAACTATAACGATAACTATATTAGCGTTCACACCAGCGGACGATAACTATAACGATAACTATATTAGTGTTCACACCAGCAGACGATAACTATAACGATAACTATATTAGTGTTCACACCAGCGGACGATAACTATAACGATAACTATATTAGCGTCCACACCAGCGGACGATAACTATAAAGATAACTATATTAGTGTTCACACCGGCGGACGATAACTATAACGATAACTATATTAGTGTTCACACCGGCGGACGATAACTATAACGATAACTATATTAGTGTTCACACCAGCGGACGATAACTATAACGATAACTATATTAGTGTTCACACCGGCGGACGATAACTATAACGATAACTATATTAGTGTTCACACCAGCGGACGATAACTATAACGATAACTATATTAGCGTTCACACCAGCGGACGATAACTATAACGATAACTATATTAGCGTTCACACCAGCGGACGATAACTATAACGATAACTATATTAGTGTCCACACCAGCGGACGATAACTATAACGATAACTATATTAGTGTTCACACCAGCGGACGATAACTATAACGATAACTATATTAGTGTCCACACCAGCGGACGATAACTATAACGATAACTATATTAGTGTTCACACCAGCGGACGATAACTATAACGATAACTATATTAGTGTTCACACCAGCGGACGATAACTATAACGATAACTATATTAGTGTTCACACCAGCGGACGATAACTATAACGATAACTATATTAGTGTTCGCAACAGCGGACGATAACTAGAACGATAACTATATTAGTGTTTACACCAGCGGACGATAACTATACAGCGGACGATAACTAGAACGATAACTATATTAGTGTTCACACCAGCGGACGATAACTATAACGATAACTATATTAGTGTCCACACCAGCGGACGATAACTATAACGATAACTATATTAGTGTCCACACCAGCGGACGATAACTATAACGATAACTATATTAG